TGTGTGTGTGTGTGTGTGTGTGTGTGTGTGCGCCTGGTAAAGACCACTGATTTAAGTATTTCTTCGTGTGTGTGTGTGTGTGTGTGTGTGTGTGTGTGTGCGCGCCAGCTTGTTATTTGGGCTTGGACTGAAAGCTTTATGCTCTTCTTCAGCTTTTTCTATTTTGGTGCTGGTCCTAGGGCTTTAACTCAGGATTTGGGTGCTGATTTGAGCTTTTTTGTTCAAAGGTTAGGATTTATCACTTGAATCATTGCTCCACTTCTGGCTTTTTGGTAGTCAATTGGAGTTAAGTGTCTCATGGATTTTGCTCAGGCTGGCTTCATATGGGAATCCTCAGATCTCAGCTGCCTGAGTAGCTAGGATTACAGATGTTGTGCCAACAGTGCCAGATTCAAGAAGAGTTTTTCTCCCTTAGCTCTTCAGCTCAATGTGAGCGCTCTACCACTTGAAGCATAGCACCACTTGCAGTTTTCTGGTGGTTAATTGGAGATAAGAGTCACAGACTTTCCTACCCAGCTGGCTTTGAATCAAGATCGTAGAATTCAGCCTTCTGAGCAGCTAGGATTACAGGCATGAGTCATCGGCTCCCAGTTTGGCAATACTTTTTGGTTGTGGAACCTGAACTCAGGGCCTGGGTGCTGTCCCTCAGCTCTTCAGCTCAAGGATAGTGCTCTACCACTTGAGCCATGGCACCACTTCTAGCTTTTTCTGCTTATGTGGTGTTGAGGAATGGAACCCAAGGCCTCATGCATACAAGGCAAGCGCTTTACCACTGAGCTACCTTCCCAGCCCCTTGGCAATATTTTAAAAAATATAATTTTATTGTTATTACTAAGATGCTGTACAGAGGGGTTACCATTTCATAAGTTAGGTAAGGAATATAATTTTTTTGGACAAAGTTATCACTTCTTGGCTTTGCCCCAGTTTCTCCCTCTTGTCCTTGCCCACAAGTTGCATAGTTCATTTACTGCAGAGTGTATACAGAATACCATGGCTGCATTTGTTTATCCTTCCTCCCCTCATTCTGTGCCTTTCCTCCCCTCTAAAAAATTTAAAACCCTCCAAAAGATTATTAGTTTTATGATGCTTATGTGTATACATATGTATTTACACATGCGTCCTAGTGAAAACCTCCCTGTATAACTAATGTCCACTAATTTAAAAAAGTAAAATAATAATAACCAACAAAAAGCCACACTGGAGTCATGGCTCAAGTGGCAGAGTACCAACTGATAAAGCAAGCTGAGCAAGGAGTGGGTCTTTAGTTTAAGCCCCAATTCTGCCAAAAAAGAAAAAAAAGTTCATCCCCTACCTCGCCTTCTTGCCCATTGAGGTTCAGATTGCTAGAGAAGCACTGTACCACATGAACCACATCCTCAGCTCAAAATCCTACCTCTTTTTATACCTGTAATTAGTATATGCAGTCCTAGTTTTAGTACAATTAATAAAATACAATTTTTTTTTTTTTGGTTGTTCATGAAGCTGGAACATGGGGCTTGGCATTGTCCCTGAGCTTTTTCACTCAAGGCTAGCATTCTACCACCTTGAGTGACAGGGCCACTTCCAGTTTTCTGATGGTTCATGGGAGATAAAAGTCTCACTGCCAGGCAGCTCCTGTGGCTCATGCCTGTAATCCTAGCTACTCAGGAGGCTGAGATCTGAGGATTGCAGTTAAAAGCCAGCCCAGGCAGGAAAGTCCTTGAGACTGTTCTCTCCAATAAACCACTAGAAAACCGGAAGTAGGGCTGTGGCTCAACTGTAGAGCACCCGCCTTGAGCTGAAGCGTTCAGGGACAGCACCCAAGCCCAGAGTTCAAGCCCCATGACCGACAAAAAAAGAAGTCTCACTTCCTTTTCTGCCCTGGCTGGCTTTGAACTGCAATTCTCAGATCTCAGCCTTCTGGGTAACTAGGATTCCAGGCGTAGCCACCCACGCCCATCTTAGAACACAGTTTTGTAAAGAATACAGTTTTGTAAAGCGTGGTGCTGGTGGCTCACGCCTGTAATCCTTGCTATTATGGAGGCTGAGATTTGAGGATCACGGTTTAAAGCCAGCCTGGGCAGGAAAGTTCATGAGACTTTTATCTTCAATAAACCACTCAGAAAACCAGAAGTGGCGCTGTGGCTCACGTGGTAGAGCGTTCATCGTAAGCTGAAGCGCTGAGGGACAGCGCCCAGGCCCAGAGTTTATTTTTTTTTATTTTTTATTTTTGGGTCCGGTCGTGGGGTCTGAACTCTGGGCCTGGGCGCTGTCCCTCAGCTCTTCAGCTCAAGGCTAGCGCTCTACCACTTGAGCCACAGCACCACTTCTGGCTTTTTTCTTTTTGCTTATGTCTGAGGAATCGAACCCAGGACCTCATGCATGCAAGGCAAGTGCTCTACCACTGAGCCACCTTCCCAGCCCCTCTTTTTTTTTTTAAGAGGGGGCAATGGTTAGTAGAGATGGGACCCGGGGTCTTGTGTATACTAATAAGCCTATGCTTTACCTCTGAGCTATTCTGCCAATCCCAATAGATGACTTACTCTTAGTGAATGATTTTTAAATTTACTGTTAAGTGGTTGTACAAAAGATGTTGCAATTTAACATGTCTCTTTATGTGTGCAGTGCTTATCATCCCTCAAGCAACATTTCTTAAGTGAATTCAGCTTTGTTGTTGTTGTTGTTTTGGTGTGTTTGGGGTTTGCTTTATTTTGAGATAAGATTTTCACGGTATAGGCTATCCTCAAACTCATTCTTCTGTTTTAACCTACCCAGTACTAGGATTACAGGCATTTGCTGCCACACCTACTCTTCATTGAGATTATTTATGGTTCTATTACTGGAATTACAATTTTCAGAACATCTCATTTTCTTATTAATGATGGCTACATTTTTTTTTCTTCTGGTGCTAGAGATTGAACCCAGAATTGAGCATATTAGGGGAAAGCTCAACCACTGAATTATAACCCCAACCAGTAATGAATGACTACTACACCATAATTATTTATTTAATCTTTATAAATACTGTAGAACTTGGTGGCATTTTCATTTACAAATGGGAAACACAAATCTGAAAAGTAACTTTTTTTTTTTTGGTAGGTCATGGGGCCTGAACTCTGGGCCTGGACACTGTCCCTCAGCTCTTTTTTTTTGGGGGGGGGTCCGGTCTTGGGGCCTGAACTCTGGGCCTGGGTGTTGTCCCTCAGCTCTTCAGCTCAAGGCTAGCACTCTACCACTTGAACCACAGTGCCACTCCTGGCTTTTTTCTTATGTGGTACTGAGGAATCGAACCCAGGGTCTCATGCATGCAAGGCAAGCGCTCTACCATTGAGCCACCTTCCCAGCCCCTCCCTCAGCTCTTCAGCTCAAGGCTAGCACTCTTACCACTTGAGCCACAGCACTACTTCCGGCTTTTTTGCTTATATGGTACTGAGGAATCGAACCCAGGGCCTCACTGAGCCACCTTCCCAACTCCTGAAAAGTAACTTTTTTTCAACCAGTATTTCACCAAGATTTTCAGTTACTTGACTCCATTAGCCCAGATTTCTTGTTTTTTTTTTGTCCTATGTCTGCTATCTAATTATTATTAGTGAGGAAGATAATTATACTTTATTAAAATGGAGAGGGGCCAGGTGCTGGTAGCTCATGCCCATAATCTAGCTACTCAGCAGGTTAAGATCTGAGGATCACAATATTAAAGCCAGCCTAGGCAAGAAAGCCCAACAACCACTGAAAAGCCAGAAATGAAACTGTGGCTCAAGTGGGAGAGTGCTATCCTTGAGCATAGAACTCAGACACAGCATCCAGGCCCTGAGCTCAAGATCTAGGACTGGCAAAAAAAAAATCCAAAACAGGGCATTGTTTGCCTCTTTGATTATTGCATTCATTTATTCACACAGGTTCTTGCTAGTTAGTCCAGCAGGCTCTAAAAACTTATATTCCTCTCTTGTCTTAGATTTACATGACAGCAGACTTAGATTTCAGTAGCTTTTGTAAGCCCCAACCTGTGATTATTTGTGCTTCCACTAGATGGCATGAAATGCCATATAATGCAGTGGTGTGGGAGGACATGAAAACAACCAGAACTGGGAGATAGAATAGATAAGGAAAGGAATGAGATTGTAGACTACAACAGCAAGTTATGTCGAAAATCAAGTAAGACAACTGCTTCTTGGTTTATGTTATATTTAAGTGAAATACACTAGTGTCATTTAACATTAGGCATATATTCTAAGAAAATGTCTAATGTGTGAGCATCAGAATGTAGGTACACGAACTAAATGATTGTCACGTCACTAAGTGATATAATCTATTGGGGCCACTCTCTTGTGGATCATTATTGACAGAACATCCTTAGTGCATGGCTACTCTAAGGAGGGAAAGGAATGAGTGAAGGACTTTCTTCCTAGTAGTAAGTTTCTATTTTGCTTTCCTAAATGTTACATAGTTTTGTAGTTTTGTGTAATAATATGGGGGAACTGCTTTTGTTCCCCCTACCCCCTTTTTTTGTTGGTCATGGGGCTTGAACTCAGGGCCTGGGTGCTGTCCCTGAGCTCTTTTGCTCAAGGCTAGTGCTCTACCCCTTTGAACTACAGCTCCACTTCTGTTTTTCTGTTGGTTAATTGGAGTTAAAGGTTTCATGGACTTTCCTGCCTAGGCTGGCTTTGAACCATGATCCTCAGATCTCAACTTCCTGAGTAACTAGGATTACAGGTGTGAGCCATGTGCTGGACTTTGTTTTCCCCCTTTGTTTTCTTAATTGTATATGTTTTATGCGCTGGTTCTGGGGATTGAACTCAGAGCCAGCCTGGGCATTGTTTCTGAGCTTCTTTTGCTCAAGGCTAGCACTACCATTTGAGACAAGTTCCATTTCCAGCTTTTTTGGTAGTTTGTTGGGGATAAGAGAGACTTGTGCACTTCCCTGCCTAGCCTTACTTCAAACCTTATCCTCAGATCTCAGCCTCTTGAGGAGGCTGAGCCACCAGCACCCAGCTTGATGTACACTTTTTAGAAAATTATGAATCAGTGTTTTTGGGATTTACCGATCCCAGACAAAGTAAATCTTATGGTAATAATAATACTTCTATGCTGAGTATTGACAAAAGGGAGAACTTGAAAACTGAAAAATGAACATGTCTCAATGAACTAAACACAGAAATAGTCATGAGCGCTGGGTGCTGGTAGCTCATGCCTGTAATCCTAGCTACTCAGGAGGCTGAGATCTGACGATCACAGTTCAAAGCCAGCCTGAGCAGGAAAGTCTGTGAGACTCTTATCTCCAGTTAACCACCAGAAAACCAGAAGTGGCACTGTGGCTCAAGTGGTAGAGTGCTTGCCTTGAACTAAAAAACTCAGGGACAGTACCCAGGCCCAGCGTTCAAGCCCCATGACCGACAAAAAAGGAAAAAAGAAAAAAAAGAAAAATAGTTATGAGATAGAGTGAACATTATTCAGGGATTTTTTTTTGAGGGCGGGGGGGATCGGTCGTGGGGCTTGAACTCGGCCTGAGTGCTGTCCCTCAGCTCTTCAGCTCAAGGCTAGTTGCTCTACCACTTGAGCCACAATGTCACTTCCTCAGGGATTATTTTTGTGCTACCCATTTTACCTTTGCCAGGTGAACTGTAGCTCAGAATAAGAACATTTAGAATGAGGCTCTTTGTACCTGAACTTTGAAAGCATGCTTGGTTTATTTTCTTTTTTTAGATTTTTTCAGAGGTCCCACAGTATCAAATATCCGTCTGGCTGGATTAGAGTATATTTTGCACTTCACTGCACTGAATGGGAAGATTTACTTTCGAAGTTATAAGTAAGTGCATTTCTTAGCATGTTTCTCTTAATCCTTAGGATTCTATCATTTTGTTTGATAGAGCTCAGTACTAAAATGGGCTTCTGCACAAAGGTTTGTTTGGAAAATTTGCAGACTAGTAGTAACTGCAGCTCTGTGCTGATCCTTGACCTGTCATTCCATTGTTAACTTCTGCCTCTGAAATTACTTTTCCAGGGTGACAACATCTAGTAGTGTTATACTCTGTGTGAGCCTAACTCAGTAATGCCCTCCATAGCTTTTTAAAAAAAAATTTTGTGTTCATGTATTGAATAAATTCAATAAACTCATAAAATAATCAGATATAAACATTATAGGATTTTAGATTTTTTTTTAAAGAGTCACTTCTTACTTCTTAGGAATAAAATGTTTTTCCAAAATAAGCTGGATTTCAACAAAACAACTTAATAAAACTAGGCACAATGTTTAATAAGTTAAAATTTACATAAATTAGTTAATATAAAATTATAATGTTTTGATACCTGGAGTAGGTAGGAAGTATTCAAGGTAGTTTAAATTTTCTTTTTAGATGGTATTTCATTATTAGATGGTATTTAAATTTGATACAGCAAACTATATCTTACTAAGAAAATAAAACTTTATTCTTGAATTATATTGCTCAGTTACATTTATTTTTATTGTTAGGTTTTAATTATATATCTAAAAAGGCAGTCTTAATTCAAAAGATTTCAAATACAGAAATTAAATCAGATCATAGTCACTTGACCCAAAGTAAAAGTAAAATACATTTCCAGCATCTTTTGTAGATAATTTGAGTCCCAAGCTTTATGAATAAAGTTTTTGGGGTTTTTTTTGGTTTTGTTTTTGTCGGTCATGGGGCTTGAACTCTGGGCCTGGGCGCTGTCCCTCAGCTCTTCAGTTCAAGGCTAGCACTCTACCACTTGAGCCACAGTGCAACTTCCAGTTTTCTGAGTGGTTTATTGGAAATAAGAGTCTCATGGACTTTCCTGCCTGGCTGGGTTTGAACTGTGATCCTGTCTGAGGATCACAGCTACTCAGCCTTCTGTAGCTAGGTAATTATAGTATGAACCGTCAGCTCCCAGCTGAATGAGGTTTTTATTTTTATTTTTTTAAAATAGTACTAAAAATTGAACTCATGGTCTTGTACTTGTTAAGCAAGCTTTATATTGCTTGAGCTATGCTCTAGCGTGCCCCCCACCGCCCCTCTAGCGAAATAGTGTTCAGTTCTCAAATGGATTCAGAACACCTGGCTTTATATAAGTCAAGAACAACCAAAGCAAATCTTACTAAAATTTAAAATAGTGTACTGTTGGCTCATGCCTGTAGACCTAACTACTCAGGAGACTGAAATCTGAGGATCGTGGTTCAAAGCCAGCTGGGGCAGGCAAATCCACCAGACTCTTATCTCCAATTAGCCACCAGAAAACCAGAAATAGAACTGTGGTTTAAAGTAGTAGAGCACTAGACTTGAGGAAAAGAGTTAAGGGTCAGCACCCAGGCCTCGAGTTGAAGCCCCATGACAGACAAAAATAAATAAATATAAGGCATACTAAGTATCAATGACTAGATTCATTTTACCTCTCTGTTCCGCCTTGGCCTTCTACTCTATTTTCAGCACAATTAAAATCCAAGTAGGCAGATATTTTTTCAGTAGAATTTAATGACATGCTATGTATAATATGCCTCTTAAGGTAAGCTATACTTTATGCATAATGCTTGTTTTTTTTTTTCTTCTTCGTAATATAATAGGTGCCTGACCACCTTAGGCAACCAAATTAAGCTAAATATTCACCTTTTTGTCAGTAACTTGCATCTTGGTCTCAACTTTATTGAGTTAGAGATACTTAGTTCTTTTCACCATACGAATTTTCATAATACAAGTTTTTCATCATAGGGAATTAAAAGTGAAATAACTTTTAACCAAAGGTAAAAGGAGCACACACATGTATTCTTAGATACTCAGGAGGCTGAGATTTGAGAATTGGGTAGGAAAGTCCTTGTGGAAAAGCCAAAAGTGGAGCTGTAGTTCAAGTGGTAGAACAACATCTTTGAGTGAAAAAGCTCAGGGACAGCACTTAGGCTCTGAGTTCAAGTACTACTACCTATGCATGCATGTGTGTCCACATGCACACACACAACGTGTATAATAATAACTATACATGTAGTTTGGTGGTAGAGTTTTTGCCTAGTATGCACAAAATGATGAATTGCTGGCAACACACACAAAGTAAGATAATAATAAAGTAACGTAATAAACATACAATGATTGCAAGAGATAATTAGGAGTTTCTATAATTTTTAGCTAGCTCAGATTTCAAGCCACTTGAACCTTTGATGAGTTTGTCACATTAAAGTTTTTAAATTGACTTCAGTCAAGATGGTTAAATGTCTGTGCTATAGGGAAACATTGATTTTTGAATGGATTAATTCCTAAAGTTAAACACACACACACACACACACACACACACTTGTCAGGTGTAGGACTTGAACTTAGGGCCTAGGCACTGTCTCTGAGTTCTTTTTTTATTCAGGGCTAGCACTATACCACTTTGAGCCTCAGCACTGCTTCCAGTTTTCTGATGGTTAATTGGAGATGAGTCTCATGAACTTTCTTTTTTTTAATTTTAATTTTTTGTGAACATACTTTACAGAGGGGTTACAATTACATGGGCAAGATAATGCATACATTTCTATCAGTTGTGGGGCTTGAACTCTGGGCCTGAGCGCTGTCCCTCAGCTCTACAGCTCAAGACTAGCGCTCTACCACTTGACTTACAGTGCCACTTCTGGTTTTCTGGTGGTTTATTGGAGATAAGAGTTTCATGGGCAGGCTGGGAAGGTGGCTCAGTGGTAGAGCGCTTGCCTTGCATGCTCGAGGCCCTGGGTTCGATTCCTCAGCACCACATAAGCAAAAAGAAAAAAGCCGGAAGTGGCGCTGTGGCTCAAGTGGTAGAGCGCTAGCCTTGAGCTGAAGAGCTGAGGTACAGCACCCAGGCCCAGAGTTCAAGCCCCACAACCGGCCCCCCCCCCCAAAAAAAAAAAAAAAGAGCTTCATGGACTTTTCTGCCCAGGCTGCCTTTGAACTGACGATCCTCAGATCTCAGCCTCCTGAGTCGCTAGCATTACAGGCGTGAGCCACCGGCTCCTGGTCAATATTATTTTCATACTTATGTAAATCTGTGAAATGAAGTCAAATAAAAATTCCAACGTGTGTATGTGTGGATGTGCATAAGTGGTCCTTGGACTTGAAATCAGGGCCTTGGCACTGTCCCTGAGTTTTTGTGCTAAAGGCTAGTGTGCTACCACTTTGAAACGGCTTAATATCCAGCTTTTTGGTAGTTAATTGGAGATAAGAGTCTCACAGACTTTCCTGCCTGCGCTGGCTTGGAAGCACGACCCTCAGATCTCAGCCTCCTGATTAATTGGGATTACTGGCATATGAGCCACTGGTGCCCGGCAGGGGGAGAACTTTTTAAAGACAAGGTATCATTTCTGTTTTCCTGTTCCATAAAGGCTGCTGTTGAAGAAGTCTGGCTGCAGAACACCACGGATTGAGTTGGAAGAGATGGGGCCGTTGTTGGATTTGGTTCTGAGAAGGACCCACCTGGCCTCAGATGATCTTTATAAACTGTCTATGAAAATTCCAAAAGCTCTCAAGGTATGTGACCTGCAGTGAGTGCTCTCCTTCAATTTGTGTGCTTCATACTTCTTCCCAGAAAAGGTTTGAGGCATGTTCTATTAAATGTCGTACGTGACAAGATCAATAACATAAATAAATTAGGCACAGCCAGCAACTGGGAAGTTTTACAGTAAATTTGAGTTAAGAGTTTTTTGGTAGCCAGGACTACCATTTCAGCAAAAATAAGAATGATTTTGGGCATTGTGAAGACAAGGTTTAGAGCTTTTAGGTGTATAAACCATATGAACATAAAATGTTTGACTTTTCAGTGGTGTTATAAAACAGTTAGCAATGCTAATTATGGAATGCTAGTAGAAAGTGGAATGATAGCTGAACAGAGCAAATTTTGTGTTGCATAGCAGCAGTTAGTGTAGTGCTAACAGTGCAGTTTCACATTTACATAGGGATTGTTGGTAGTACAGAATATTAGGCCTACCAGATCTAGTTGAGAACCCCTCAGGTGACTTGAATGTGTACATAGGTTTGAGAAGAAAGTCAGGTGGGTCTGTTCTCTGTCACTGAGGTTTCCTCACAAATGGGAATTGGTACTATGATAGTTGATTTTTTTTTTATCAGTTTGTGATAGTAGAAAGCCATTAAAAAAATTTATATATATTCACAGACATACATTTCCCCCCTTGTTTTATAGCCAAAGAAGAGGAAAAATATCTCTCAAGATACTTTTGGTACAACTTATGGAAGGATACACATGCAGAAACAAGACCTAGGCAAACTACAAACCAGGAAAATGAAGGGATTGAAGAAGCGACCTGCAGAAAAGATAACAGAAGACAAGGAGACAAACCCCAAGAAAATTAAAAAAAGTTAATAGAACTTAGCCAAAAGTCCAGTTTTATTGTGGTGTATTTACTTAAGAAATTTGTCAAGCTCAGACCATTCAGTTTCTTAAATGATTTTATTGTATATTTTTATAACATAATTTGCTATGTATATTTGAGCTACTTTTATAATTTCTTTTAAAAAATTACGTAGTTGTACAAGAGATTACAGTTCCATAAGTCAGTTAGTAGTACAGTGCATCTTGATCATTCATATTTTATGACTGGTAATATACTGATACTTTGCTTAAAGTAAGCCCTTTTTTTGTGCTGTTAGATTTGGTTATGCTGTTTTTTATCTGATGTGTTATTCTCATTCTCCAAAAACCTCTTTTCTTCGGGTGGGTGAATGAATGAGTGAGGTGGAACTGAGGTAGAAGTATCACAAGTTTCAGGCTAGCTTAAGCTGGGTCATGACATCTGCCAAAACAAAAGGACAGTAAATGGACTTTGTTTTGTGGTTTGTGATAACAGCCTTGTATTTGAACTCAGCCTGGGTACTATCCCTGGGACCTTTTGTGTTTAAGACTAGCCTCTACTACTTAAGTCATGTCTCCACTGCCATCTTTTGGTTTTTAATTGAAGATAAGAGTGTCATGAAAGGAGCTGGGAAGGTGGCTCAGTGGTAGAGCACTTGTCTTGCATGCTTGAGGCCCTGGGTTTGATTCCCCAGCACCACATAAGCAAAAAGAAAAAAAGCCGGAAGTGGCTCAAGTGGTAGAGCGCTAGCCTTGAGCTGAGGGACAGTGCCCAGGCCCAGAGTTCAGGCCCCACAACCGGAAAGTTTGTGACAGCCTGACTGTGTTAGCTTTGAACCTCAGTCCTCAGATCTCAGCTTCTTGAGTAGGTAGGATTATAGGCATGAGCACTGGTACCTGGCTATGCTGACATAGCCATATTGCATATATCCTGATGGTCCTGTAAGATTTTATCACTTAATGAAGGCTTTTCTATCTTTTTTTGGGGGGGGGGGTCAGTCCCTGGGGCCTGAACTCTGGGCCTGGGTGCTATCCCTCAGCTCTTCAGCTCAAGGCTAGCGCTCTACCGCCTGAGCCACAGCGCCACTTCTGGCTTTTTCTGCTTATATGGTGCTGAGGAATTGAACCCAGGGCCTCATGCATGCAAGGCAAGCACTCTACCCTTGAGCCACCTTCCCAGCCCGTGAAGACTTTTCTTTAAAGGACAGTTTTTGCTATGTAACTCTTGTTTGCTAAGTACCACCAGTTCTCCTGCCTTAGCTGTCCAAGACCCATGTGCCACCACTCCCAGAATTCATAGCACAATTTTTGGGGCTGGGGGTGTAGTGTAGCTAGGTGGCACAAGTAGATTTTCTTTTTTTCTTTTTTGGGTCCGGTCGTGGGGCCTGAACTCTGGGCCTGGGCGCTGTCCCTCAGCTCTTCAGCTCAAGGCTAGCGCTCTACCACTTGAGCCACAGCGCCACTTCCGTTTTTTTTGTTTTTGCTTATGTGGTGCTGAGGAATCGAACCCAGGGCCTCTGGCATGCAAGGCAAGCGCTCTACCACTGAGCTACCTTCCCAGCCCTTTATTTTTATTTTTATTACCATTATTATTTTTTGGTTAGTCATGGGGCTTGAACTCAGGGCCTGGGTGCTATCTCTGAACTCTTTTGGCTCAAGGCTAGCATTCTACCTTGAGCTATAGCACCACTTCTGGTTTTCTGGTGGTTAATTGGAGATAAGAGTCTCACAGACTTTTTCTGCCCCATCTGGCTTTGAACCATGATCTTCAGATCTCAGCATCCTGAGTAGCTAGGATTACACGTTTGATCCACCACAGCCTGGCTGCCACTAGTTTTATAGGGGATAATTGGGACACAAACATACAATATATTCTAATCCATGTCTTCATATCTTCTATCACTCCTTTAATACTCCCCTCACCAATTCCCTGGTATTTAAAAAAACAGGTATTAAAAATACTTTTATTATTATTAAGATGTACAGAGGAGTTACATAAGTGGTAGTGAGTACATTTTTTTTTGACAATGTTACCTCTTCCTTTCCTTTCCTCCAGTTTCCCCTCTTCCAGTCTTGCCCACAATTTACAAAGGTCATTTTCCACATAAGGTCTATTGAATAGCATTGTTGGATTTGTTCACCCTTCCTCCATTTCTGTGTCCCTGCTTTACCCCTGTACAAGAAGAAAACCCAAAGCAAAAACAAGCACCACCACTGCCTTTCTGTTTCCTGTAGTTTGTTTCAATAAAAAAGTATTTTAAATGTTTAGAGAACGTGTGCTCTTGTCTTCCTCCCCTTAGGATATCCCCCTTTAGTCTGCCTTTTTTGTGTGTGAATGCCTAGAGTCCTGTATAAGGTATGTGCAGTTACAGTTTAGATCTAGCATCCACATATTAGAGAAAATATGTGCCATTGGTCTCTCCTAGCTTGGCTTACCCCACTTAGCATGATTTGCTCTAGGTCCAACCATTTCTCTGCAAATGACATAATCTTATTCCTTTTTAAAAAATGAGTAAAATTCCATTGTGCATATATATATATATATATATATATATATCACATTTTATTGATGCACTCTTTTATTATAGGGCATCTGGACTGCTTCCGTAACTTGGCTATTGTGAATAGTGCAGCAATGAACATGGATGTGCAAGTGTCTTTATTTACCATGTCCTGACTTGTAATGATAAGGGTAGATGCCCAAGTATGGTATGACTGGGTCATAGGCAAGTTCTAGGGATTTTTTTGTTTGTTTGTTTTTCTGTTGGTCGTAGGGCTTGAACTGTGGGCCTGAGCGCTGTCCCTCAGCTCTTCAGCTCAAGGCTAGCACTCTACCACTTGAGCTACAGTGCCACTTCCGGCTTTCTGGTGGTTTATTGGAGATAAGAATTTTGCAGACTTTTCTGCCTGGTCTGGCTTTGAACTGCGATCCTCAGATCTCAGCCTCCTGCATAGCTGGGATTCTAGGCATGAGCCACCTGCGCCCAGCAAGTTCTATGGTTTTTTCCTAATGTCCTTTCCTAGTGGTTGTACTAGTTTATATTACCACCAACAGTGCAGTTGGGTCCTTTTCCACCTACATCCCTGTCAGCATTTGATGTTCAAATTCTTGATAGTGGCCAATGTAATTGGAGTAAGATGGAATCTCAGACTTGTTTTGATTTACATTTTCTTTGTGGCCAGGGATGTATATTTCCTTCTAAGCTCCTCTGTTCATGTATTGATTTATTTGTTTGGGGAGAGGTTAGTGTCTTGAGTTCCTTCTCTGTTTTGGGGTATTGCTGGTGACAATTTTCTCCCAGTCTATTGACTGTTTTTCTAGTTTAGTAACTATGTCCTTTGCTGTATGGAGTATTTTTTTTTCCTGTTGGTTGTAGGTCTTGAACGCTGGCCCTGGGCACTGTCCCGCAGCTCTTCAGCTCAAGCGCTTTACCACTTGAGCCACAGTGCCACTTCCGGTTTTCTGGTGGTTTATAGGAGATAAGAGTCTCATGGATTTTCCTTCCCCAGGCTGGCTTTGAACGGTTATCCTCAGATCTCAGCCTCGTAAGTAGCTAGGATTACAGGCGTGAGCTACCATGTGAGCCACTGGGTGCTGGCTGTACAGAAATTTTTTATTTTGATCTAATCCCACGTGTTGTCTATTTCCTGTGCCCTTAGGACTCTTCCTATGCCTATAACTTCTAATGTTTCTTCTACTCCATCTTGTAATTGTAGTTTCTAGTCTGACATTGAGGTCTTTGATCCATTTTGATTTGATATTGGTGCATGGTGACAAACAGGGATCCAATTTTAGTTTTCTGCATATGTACGATTTCCCAACACCAGCTATTGAAGAGGTTATCTTTTTTCCCCACCATATATTTTTGACTCCCTTGTCAAGTAAGTGTAGGTATATGGTTTTATTTCTGGGTCTTCTAGACTGTTCCCTTAATCTTGGGGCCTGTTTTTGTGCCTGTACCAAGCTGTTTTTTGCATAGCTCTGTAGTAGAGCTTTAAGGTCTGGGATTGTGATGCAACTAGAATTGTTTGTTTTTTGTTTTGTTTTTGCCTAGAATTGCTTTGGCTATTTGAAGTCTTTTGATATCCCAGATGAATTGGGATTTTTTTGGGGGGGGGCAGGATTGAGGTGGAACAGAAGGCAGTTTGTCTAACTAGGAAATTTCAAGAAAATTAGGAGAAAAGGGCCACGGCAAGAGACAGGGCAGGGGTGGGCAGG